ACAAGTTCTTCCTGCTGCCAACCCCAAACAAAGCCCAGGGGAGGAGAAAGCCACGAGGCTCAGGAATCTCACTGCAGTGGGTGACTGATGGGGCATCACTTGGGTGTTGCTGGGTGTTGTGAAGCTTCCAGGGCAGGCTCAACACACAATCGAGTGTGCCAGAAAGATAAGGCCAAAAAACCTCTCTGCTGCTCGACCCGTGGCACTCACCTCACTCGTGATCCGCTCCCTGAAGGAGTCAACCTGCAGAATGGAACGGGGACAGGTCAGGGTCGCTCTCGCACAGCGCTGAGTCCCGCACCACCCTCCCGCACAGCTCCCGCTGTCCCGGGGGACCGGGAGGAGCCGCCAACACCGGGCGGGAGCGGCCCGGAGCGGCTCCGGGCGCCGCGGGGAGCTGGAAACGGCGCGGCCCCCGCCGGGAGGGCCGATCCGCGGGGCGGCCCGGGCCGGCGGCCCCGCTGTGCCGGGCTGGGCTCGGGGGCGGCCGCGGCCAGCGCCGGCCGCATCCCCGCCCCCCCGGCGCCGCGGGGCCGGGCGGGGGTGGAGACACCGGGGGCTCGTCGGGGCGGGCGGGCCGCGCTCGGCGGCCGGGGCGGAACGGCCGGGAGGCACCGCGGGGCGGCCCCAAGCCCGCCCCGCCCCGGCCCGGCGCCCACAGAGCCCGGCGCGGGCCGGCGGGGCGGAGGCGGCCGCCGAGCGGGGCCGGAGCGGGGCCGGGCGAGGCCGCGCGGGGCGGGGCGAGCGGCGGGGCGGGCGCACCTTGAGCTTCACCTCCGGGTCCACCTTGAGCAGCGAGGCCATGGCGGGTCCGGTCTCGGGGCCGCTCCGCTTCCCCGGGGCCCGCACCGGAAATGACCTCACGCCGCGCGCCCGCCAATGCCGCGCGCGCCCGCCGCCCGCGTGACGCGCGCGCACGCGCGCCGCCGGGTCCGGGCCGCCGAGCGCCGCCCGGGGCGGGGACGCGGCGCGGGCGGCCCCGCGCGCCCCGCCGGGACCGCGCCCCGCGCGCGCGTCACGTCCGGCGCGCGGCGATGGCGGGGCGCGCGCGCGCGGCGCGATGGAGGCAGCGCGGGCGGGCGGCGGCACCGCGCACGTCAGCTTCGTGTGCCAGCGCTGCTGCCAGCCGCTCAAGCTCGACACCTCCTTCAAGGTGCTCGACCGCCTCACCATCCAGGAGCTCACCGGTACCGCCGGGGTGGGGGGCCGGGGCCGGGCGGGGGCACGGGCCTAGGCCCGGGCCCGGCTGACGCCTTCTCTCGCACAGCCCCGCTGGTGAGCGCCGCCCCCGCCAGGCCCGGCGAGCCGCACGAAGAGGAGAGCGCCCTGACCGAGGTACGGCCGGGCCGGGCGCGGCGAGGCGCGGGGGCGGCTCCCCCGGGCCTGCCGGTAACGATGTTGTTTCCTTGCCGCCAGGAAGCCTTCGTGGAGCACCGGCAGGATGGCGTGTCCCGGAGGTTCATCCCGCCCGCCAGGTACAGCCGCTGCCGCATGCCCGGCCCGGCTGGAAGCCTGGCCTCCCCCTCCGGGCAGCTTGAGCTGCGCTGTGTCAGCGCCTCAGAAATGTCCCCCCATGGGGAAGGGTCACACTGGATAGCTCCTCTGAGCCCCTAGAGTTCTCCCTGCAGATCCCCAGGACCCTCGGGCTCCTTGGGAGTGCGAACACAGAACTGCAGAGTCCTCGGGGCACTGTGGGCCAGCCCAGACCTGACAGAGCCCCTAAAACGCGGGTTACCCCAGCCTCCTGCCCTCCCTTTTCCCTGAGCCAGCCCCAGGTTGTGGTCTGGTGCTCAGGCTGCCCCCCTCGGCACTTGGCACTCATGTCAGTAACGTTCTCTCCAAGAATGATGTCAACAGAAAGTGCCAACAGCTTCACGCTGATCGGAGAGGCCTCGGATGGTGGCACCATGGAGAACCTCAGCCGGAGACTGAAGGCAAGTGGGTCATGAGCTGGCAAACTCGGGTCCTTGGGGACAGAGCATTAGCTTTTCCTGATGCTCTGCAAAACTAAACTGCAAAGTTTCCCACGGCATTTGCCTGCCAGGGGCTTGGTTGGTGAGTAGTTGAGCAGAGATAAATTATTTCAATCAGTATTTGGCCTGCAAAGAAGATTCCTGCTAGGTGAAGCTGCTGAGCACCAGCAGGCAGCTGCCTGTGGGTTCACTTGTGCTAATGTGAGCCCTTCCTGCAGGTCACTGGTGACCTCTTTGACATCATGTCTGGGCAGACAGATGTGGATCACCCGCTGTGTGAGGAGTGCACGGACACTCTGCTGGACCAGCTGGACACACAGCTCAACATCACGGAGAACGAGTGCCAGAACTACAAGTGAGTGATCACAGTGACCCACGGCAGAGCTGCTGTAGCTCGAGGCACAATCTGTGGAGAGCTCGGGGTTGACAAGAGCTGCAGGGGCTGCCACAGAACTGGGGACTGGCAGTGCGGCACTTGTTCTGCTAATCCTGTTGTTCTCCTCTAGGAGATGTCTGGAGATACTGGAACAGATGAATGAGGATGATAAAGAGAAGCTGCAGACAGAACTGAAGGAACTGGCACTGGAGGAAGAGCAGCTGATTCAGGAGCTGGAGGATGTTGAGAAGAACCGCAAGATTGTGGCTGAGGACTTCGAGAGAGTCAGGGCAGAGGCTGAGAGGCTGGAGCAGGAGGAGGCTCAGTGAGTGAGCTGCACCTGCAGCTGTGGCAGGGCTTGGAGGAGTAGATAAATGAGAAACACGTAGATGGTAACATGAGAAACCTGTCAATGTGCCCAAATACCAGTGTATTTCGGTGTATTCTTCTGCTCTGTGCAGAAGAAAAGGTGGCAAAACCAAACTGGCCTGCAGAGCTGTCACTCTGAGGTAGAAGCCAGCACTCAGCACTTCTTGTCTCGTTTCTGCTCAAAGGTATCAGAAGGAATACTGTGAGTTCAAGAGGCAGCAGCTGGAGCTGGATGATGAGCTGAAAAGTGTGGACAACCAAATGCGCTATGCCCAGATGCAGTTGGATAAATTAAAGAAAACCAACGTGTTCAATGCAACCTTCCATATCTGGTAATGTAGACACTGGAATATTATATCTATTTTCTTGAAATCTGCAGTGTGAAGCTGTTTAAGTCACTGCATTTGACAGGAAAGGTGCAAGCCAGCTCACAGTTATCTCCCAGCAAAGCAATGAATGCCACCTCTCAGGGGTGGCAGCTGAGTCAAGTATGCCAGGCTGTGGGCAATGGCTCCCTCAGCAGCCCCAGTAACACTTTGGGGACCCCTGTGCCAGCCAGCAGTGACACTGGCATTGGGGTTCACAGAGCAGGCAGCTAAGAGAGGCTGGGTCAGGGTTTCTGTTGTGTTTTTATGACAGAAAGAGAATAAATGTTTGGTATGTACAGACACTTGTTAAGAATAGCCCCAAACTCTCCATGTGCTTGGCTGGCACCGTGTCCCCTGTGCTGTTGGGACACAGCCTCTCTTTGGTTATCAGGCCAGGAGCTTTTCCCAGCCTAGCACACTTATTTATAATTCTTATCACAGGCACAGTGGGCAGTTTGGCACAATAAATAACTTCAGGCTTGGCCGCCTCCCCAGCGTTCCTGTGGAATGGAACGAGATCAACGCTGCCTGGGGGCAGACTGTGCTGCTGCTGCATGCCCTGGCCAACAAAATGGGCCTAAAGTTTCAGAGGTACCTGCAACACCTCACACAGATCATTTATGACCCAGAGGAAGACAGGCAGACTCGGGTGCCTGTGAATTCTGTCTTTTTTCCAGATACCGCCTTGTTCCCTATGGCAACCACTCTTATTTGGAGTCTCTCACGGACAAATCCAAGGTAAGAGATCCCAGACAAATCATGGGACATTGACCTTGAGTGTCAGAGCCCTGGGCACGCTGGGGATGCAGGAAACAAAATCTACAGGAAGCAAAACTCTGTGGATGTGGAGTCCAGGAAAGGTGGCTGCCCCCACTCCTCCAACGTGTAACATCTCACATCCTGCACGAAGCCACTGGTGCTGCCAGCCAGCAGTGTTAAAAGTGAGAGAACTGTTGAATGGCACACCTGGCCAGAGGCAGAGGCATGTTTTGGAGTGATTTGCAGGTAGATGGCCTGATTTGGGATTGGTGGAAGTCAGGAACACGTGCCTGCACATGGTAGGCACTTGCACAATACCAGCCACACTTGCCCTGTGCCACAAGCCATTTCTCAGCTTCCCATGACAAATTTAAGCCTCATATGAGGCTAAAAAGCTGCAGTGACCATATCAAAAACAAGTGCTTGGAGTGCCTGATACAAATCTCTTTCCCAGGAGCTTCCCCTGTACTGCTCTGGAGGCTTGAGGTTCTTCTGGGACAATAAGTTTGATCACGCCATGGTGGCATTCCTGGACTGTGTGCAGCAGTTTAAAGAGGAAGTGGAAAAAGGTGAAACTCGGTTTTGTTTGCCTTACAGGTAAGTGTTGCCACAAAACTGTCAAATTCAGCCCTGTATGCTCTCCCTAGCACTGCTTGCTGTTTTCAGATTTTTCAGAAATCATACAGAATTCTTACTGATGTGTGTTTGCTAGTTACAATGAAACTTAAAGCCAGCCCGTTGGGTGGAGCCCTGGAGCTTGCTCAAGTCCCTTTAAAATCAGGATAATGTTACTGTCAGAATTAAAATTTAGTGCTTGGTGTCATACTGAGATTAAATTTGCAATAGGATTACACTAATTAAAGCTTTTGTGATACAGGATGGACGTGGAGAAAGGAAAGATCGAAGACACAGGTGGCAGTGGTGGCTCCTACTCAATTAAAACACAATTTAACTCTGAAGAGCAGTGGACAAAAGCACTGAAATTCATGTTAACTAACCTGAAATGGGGCCTTGCCTGGGTCTCATCCCAATTCTATAACAAGTAACTGTGATCAGAACTTGGCCTGGCTGTGGAGTGTCTGCATTGTGTTGGAGAAAGGCAAATTAAGATGTCTCTTAATATTAACCAGTACAAAATGTTTACAATACCAAAAATCCACAAGACACTTTATTTTAAATGCCATCATTACAAGTAGTTTATAGAAAAGCAATATGCAAAGTTGTATCATTGAGTTGAACAGAATAAAACCCAGCTATTAAACGGATTCAAAACTGTTATTTTTGGGATTTATGGCCACACATGTAAATAATTGTCAAACTTCAGAACACACATCAGTTTGATGCTGCTCTGTTACAGCTAATGCCAGCTTGGAAAAGCAGAGCATTACAAACACAGTGAATAATGTGGGAAAACTGCCAGAACTCTGCCTGGTCATTAAAGAGTGACTACAGTTTAAAATAAAATATTTACTAAGTCATATCAGCACTTCTTTGTGCTGCTGCACTTAGCAAGGTTTGCTACCATGACAGCAGTGTAATCCCTCCTGCAGCCTGTTCCTGCACAGGGCTGTACTGAGGCAAAACTGAAATTATTCCACGCTCCAGGTGTTTGCAGCCAGCAGTTCCTGGCACTTGCAGGGACACCCAGCCTGGGCACTGCTGTGGTGACAGTCACAGAGGGGACAATCACAGGCAGCTGAGACAGGGGTTTTACAAAAGCAGCAGCAGGAGACAGAGCAGCCCCGTTTGTGAGAGCTGGCCCCAGCCAAGCACCAGGCATGGCAGCACCTTTCAAACACAACTACTCTGAGAGGTCTCTTTGGCTAAAGGGAACTTAAGATTCAAAACTTTAAAAGATGCAGCTTTTACAATAAAGCTTTTAGGGCATTTCTGAACACAATGGTGCTGTTGGGCCTCCTTCCTGGGCATGACTGTGATGCCTGGCAGGACGAGCTTTGCTGATTAACACGAGACTGATGGGCTCTTCCAGAATTCAGGTAGCCCCGAGCTGTGCTGGGTGCCTGGGCAGTGCCACAGAGGGAGGGACAGTTGTCAGCAGTGGGGCAGTTCCTGCTGCTGGGCCAGTGAGTGGATGGACAAGGCGGTTCTATTTCTGAGGAGGAATTCTGTCCTCAGGAGATTTGGTCCCACACTTGCCACGGTGCTGCTCGGGTGTGGTGCTGCCAACAATGCGCCTCACCACAGCGTAGGAGAACTCCAGGATGCTTTGTGGGGTAATGCCAGTGATGAAGTTTAAATGCTCCACAACCTGGAAAAAAAAAAAGATAGAGCACCTAAATGCTATGAATTTACAGACTGACAAGTGTAACTGCTCCATGGGCAGTTTCACAGGGAGTTGTCCCACGAGATTGCTGCTCTACCTGCCAGTGAAACATTGTGGGGTTTTGTTGTGGCTGTGGAGCACTGAAGGTGAGGACACTCAGCAGTGCCACCACACAGAACTGCCCCATGCCCTCAGCTCTGACAGAAGCCTCCTACTAAAAAGCCAGAGGTGTCCCCTCCCTCGTGCAACCCCACTTGCTGTGCTGGAACAGATAAACCACCTTGGCACTGTGTTCCTGTGGAGCCTTCAGCAGTGACTGTACCTGCTCCCAGTGCCCGGGGCTCAGGATGAACACACCTGTACTGATGACTCCAACAGCCAAGAGCATGAAATCTTCCTTCACTGTTAAAAACTTGGCTCTGCAGGAGGAAAAGCGTGTTCAGGTGTAAAACGCTGCCTCACAGTTCAAAACCTCCTGCTGGTGCAGTTGCCAGTGCCCAGGACGTGTTGGCTTATTCAGGCCAACCAAAGCCCAACACCAGCAGCTGAAACTGACAGTGCAAGGCTGGATTTTAACCAAATTAAACACTCTCCTTGCCCTTGAAGCAGCTGTGGAAAAGCATGTTGCTTTGAACTGGTATGTTTAGAGTCAATGGTGAATGCCCCCCTGCCAAACTAGTTATTTTTTAATGCCCCCAAAATGGCAAAATGAGAGCTATGCTGCCATTTATTAGCTTTTTATCAAGGGTTTTAATTTCAAAGGGGTATTTTAAGTGATTGTCAGGTCTTACATCTGCAGTTTGCTTGGGGTGGAGTTTTCGATGGCGATCTTCAGCAGAGTGTCATAGATGGTCTCTCTGGTCAGGTAACAGAAGTCCAGCAGCTGCACGCACAGCTGGTGTAAGGGTTTGGCAGGAAGCAAGCAGCCATTGTATCCTGGAGGAGATCACACCATCAGTGCCACGTTTGGGGTCACGAAATTGAATTGGGAGTCTTAGATACCATAAGGGAGAGAGAATTCTGAGACAACTGCCCTGTCTCAGAATGCCACAGGATCACTCAGCCTCAAAATAATTTCATTCTGAAATTCAGGCTGTCAGATGTGGGCCAAGAAAATGCTGAGTGATTGTAAAAAATGTGGCCTGGCACCACATTTGGGGGCTTTAAACTCTTAATCTTTTACTGAACGAGTCATGTTGGCTGTCCAACAACATTCATCACATTCTAAAAAGGGCGAAGTTCTCATCTAAAAAGTGAATCTCTGGACAATCCGAACATTTCCATGTGCAAAAATCTATTAATACAAGACATTTTGCTTCAGACCAGGAAGAGCTCTGTGACCCTACTAAAAAACTTCCCTTTCTCTCTGACTGCTACTCTCACCTAGAACCTCCAGAAGCAATTCCACGTAGGCCAACGGAGTTGACACATTGATGTGGAAGTGCAGAGTGTTTAAAACAGCAAGCTCCGACTCCAGCAATTCCTGTTTAGTGTAGGAGTATTTTAAGGATTGCAGAAATGTTAAAGCTGTGTCATTGGTCACTCTCTAAAGAGGAAAAAAAGAGAGACAAAATGTCTTCCAGGAGTAAGGCACTCTGTGGGACAAAGTGCTCTGTCACCTCTGTCCTCCTGCCGAGCTGGCATAGGAAATCCAGCTCTGACCTTCCCCACAGCTTTCACCTCAATAAACCTTCCCCAGGCAGGTGTGAACCCCTGTGGACACATGATTTTTGACAACCACAGGCTGAGATGTTCCTGTGCTTTTTATCCCCTCAGAACTGGGAACACTTCCCAGCAAATTGTTACTGGATGAGCAATTTACCTACCTTAAAGGGAATGTTGTGTCCTTGGCATTTCATTATCACTACTGCCTTCCAACAAGGAAATCTATTTTTAAGAGAGATTAATAGACTGCAGATTTCACCACAGTGCTAGAGCAAGGACAGGCTGAACTGGCTTACACTGTAGTGCAGAGAGAGTTTGCTGGCGAGCTGAACGCAGGACACGAGTCTCAGGACAAAGGTGTTGGTGATCTGATCCCTCACAGAGCTCCAGCTGCTCCTCTGCCCCTGGTCACGACCTTCAGTGCTCCCTCTGTCATCCCTCATCTGTTCTACCTGCTTGATCATAAACCTGCAAAACCCACAATTGCTCTGAGAACGTTCTGGCAGCTGAGAAAAAGGAACAAAGGCAATTCCACCTATGCTTAAGAGTGTAGGTGGAAGTAGTAATTCGGATTAAATGAACGAGGAGACAAAGCCCTCAACACGCACATTGGCCTTGTGTGGTTTTGGGACAGAGTGGGACAGGGCATGGGCAACAGAACCCCACCAAGGAATGGGAAATGTGCTGACTGCTCAGGACTCGTTACCGTTCAAGTAACTCCACTGCCTGGTACCGCGTCGACTGGTCCAAGTGCCATTTTTCAGACAAAAGGAATATAAATTCTGCAAAAAGCACAGCAGTCACTCATTTCAGGCTCCCGGTACAGCCATCACCTGCCCCGGGAGCGGCTGTGGCCAACTCTCACCCACGATACGTGTCTCTTTGAAGTAGCCAGCCTGCTCCGGCAGCTCGCTCAGGTACTGCTCGTTCTCCGTGGCCAAGTGGATCAGCGTGTCCTCGATGATTTCAGGAGCAACCCCGCTGAACACGGGGCCCGAGTCTCGGCCCCGGGGCTCCAGGGGCACCTGAGACCCCATGGAGCGGGCCAGGGCCGAAGCTGTAGCGACAATGATTTCAGCAGCGCTGTGGGGAGAGGTCGGGCAGGGCTCCGAGAGCTCCCGATGGCCGCGGGAGGCGGCACCGGACCGGACGAACCGAACCGAACCGAACCGAACCGAACCGAACCGAACCGGGCCGGGCCGGGCCGGGCCGGGCGCTCGGGGCCCGCGGGGCCCGTCACGTGACCCCGCACCGCCAATCAGCAGGCGCCGATGCCGCGACCGGCACCAACCGCTCGACGGCGCGCGCCGCCCGCGCCCTCCGATTGGCCGGCGCCCCCCGCCGGATGTGGCGTCACGGCGCCGCGCGGAGACGGCGGGGCAAGATGGCGGCGCCCGGCGAGCCGGGGCAGGCGGCGTTCGCGCGGAGAATCGACCCGGCCCGGGAGCCGGGGCTCAGCCCCGAGCAGCGCCGCCTCATGGCGCAGGTGGAGCACGCCCAGCGCCAGCGCGTCCTGCAGCGCCGGCTCCGCAGCCGCAATGTGCTGCTGGCGCTCGGCATCGGCGCGGTGACGTTTGGCATCTGTATCCTCCGGGGAACGGTGGGGCCGGGGGGCTCCGGGGCCGCGCCCGCAGCTTTTCCTTAACTCCCCCCGCAGACGGCTACACCTTCTACTCGGTGTCGCAGGAGCGGTTCCTGGACGAGCTGGAGCAGGAGGCGGAGGCGGCGCGGGCGCGGGCCCGGGCGCGGGCCGAGGGCGCCGCCAGCTGAGCGGGATCCCCGGCCCGGCCCGGCCCGGCCCGTGACTGAGCTGCCGCCCTCGCCAGGCACGACGGGCCTCGAGGCAGATGCGCCTGAGGGCCTCGGGCCTGCCCCGGGCTCTGCTTTGGCCCGGAGAAGGCCCCGGGGCTCCCCGCAGGCCGGGACCCCGCGGGCAGAGCCGCCCCGGGCCGTGCCCATAGGAAGGACGGGGGCGCCCGGTCCCACCGCTGCCCACAATAAATCCTCTCCCTGGAGACCGCGTCAGCGCCCGTTGTCACGGATCTCTTGGGCTGAGCCCAGCTCGGGGCAGATGAGGGGGGGTTTTGTGTTTACTCTTTATCCTCACACAGTGAGGCAAGCAGCCGCCATCCTGCCCGACAGACACACACGCAGACCCGTGGTTTGTATTCAATCCTTGTTTATGAAAACACTTTTCCAACGCCAGTTCGTAACAAAGTGCTCCCGGCTCCTGCTCTGCAGCCGAGGGAGCTGCAGGGAGCGTGGGCGGGTCCGGAGCGGGGCTGGGGTGGCGGCAGGGCTGCCACAGGCCGGGGGTGCTCAGGGCGGGCTCAGCTGCTTCCAGCACGAAGGACGGAGACACCTCGCACGTGTCCTGCAGCAGAGGGGCTGGGACAGCGGGCAGACACCCGTGGGAGCCCAGCGGGCCCGCGGCTTCCCTGCTGCGGGGAGCGCAGGGGCTCCGCAGGGCCGGCTCTGCCCGCCCCGGGGCAGCAGGCACTTGGCTGAGGTAGTTCACGGAGTCATTCTTGGCCAGCCGGCTACTGGGGAGAGAAGCGGCCGTGAACCGGGAGCGGCGGAAGGCCCCGGGACCGCCGCGGGACCCGCCCCTGCCCTTACCAGGCGCCCGAGGTCGTCGGCGAAGGTGACGCCCTTGCTGAGGCGCTGCTCCTGCGAGCCCGTGCTGCTGCCGCTCAGCGAGTTCCGCCGCATGATGCCTGCGGGACAGCGGCATGAGGAGGGCACGGGGCTGGGCAGCTCAGCCCGCACCCCCTCCCAGCCCGCGGGGAAAGGGCAGCGGGGCTGGCACCTGCGGGCGGCGCCAGCTCCAGGCGCTGCAGGCTGTTGCGGCGGGACGGGTTGAAGCTGCCCTTGGACAGGCGGCGCTGCCGGCCGGACAGCATGGCAGCCGGCGAGACGATGCCCAGCGGTGGCTGCTTCCCCATCCGCAGGTACAGCTCCTCGATCTCCTTCTTCTGGGCGCTCTGCAGCAGCTGCACCTCCGCCAGGTGCCTGGGGAGAGGGCAGGAGCTGGCAGCGGGGCCGCGGGGAAGGGACAGCGAGCTCCCACCCGGGTGGGTGGGGAACATCTGTCTCCTCCCAGGTGCAGCCCAGCCCCGGCTCACTTCTGGCGCAGGTTCTGCAGCTCCTCCCAGATCTCCTCGTCCTCGCTCTCGGTGTCATCGCTGCTCACGTAGGACAAGCTGCGGGAGTAGCTCAGCCACACCTGGCTCAGCATGGCCTGCGGCACGTTTTCTGTGCTCTCTTCCCCGGGACCCTCCCCCGGGTCGCTCCCCGCCGGCGCAGCGGGCACCGCGTCCCCCTCGGCTGGCACCTCCTCAGCCCTGGGGCCTCGCTCCGGTGCCTCCGGTGCCACGTCCGAGTCACTGCTGGAGCTGTGGCTCGTGTCGGGGATCGCGGGAGGCGGGGAGCCGCTGGCTGCTGGCTCCGTGCCGTGCTGCTCTCCGTCACTGCCGCCCAGCACCGCGGAGCTCACAGCCAGGTCCTGGGCTGGGACCACCTGGAACCGGCCCAGCACCTGGGGCTTGGCTTCTGCTGGGGACAGGGGCAGCTGCTGGGGGCTGGCCGGGGCATTGGGTGCCCTGGCACGGGCACACGGCCCAGCCTCGGCCCTGCCCCACCTCACCTTCGTTGATGGGCGAGAGCTGGGCCTTGGGCACGCTGGGGGCTGGTGCCTCCGAGATGATCAGAGAGTGGCTGGGCTTGGGGGCACTGGGCAGCACCTGTGGGCACCTGAGCACCGTCAGCAGTACCCCCCCCAGGTTCTGCCACATCTCCTGTCCTCCCCTCTGTGCCCTGGGATCTGCCACCCGCTCAGCCCTCCCAGCATCCCAGCCCTCCACAAGCCATGAGGCTCCATCCCAGCCCAGTGCAGCATCTGCAGCAACCACCCAGCCCTGCTGACATTGAGCTGCACCTGGAGCAGCCCTGGACAGCCCTTGTGCACCCACACTCACCGTGCTGCCCTCTGGACCCCCAGATGTGGATGTGCTCAGCAGCTGCAGAGGGCTCCCCACGGCCTCACTGCCTGTGGGGCACACTGGGGCTGGTGCCAAGGGAAGGGGGGATATGGGCACCCTGGCAGTGGGGACATCAGCTCCCACTGACTCCAGGGTCCCACTGCCAGGTGGGACTGGCTTGTCTGTGCTGGTGGGCTCAGGGTAGACAAAGCGTGGGGCACCCAGGGCAAGACTCTGCGGCCGTGACAGCAGTGGTGGGTAGAGGTGCCCACCTGAGCTGGCAATGGAGGAGACAGTGTGGGCCACGGTCATCACTGCCAGGGAGAAGACATTGGCGAGGGACAAGAGAGGGGCACTGGGGGACAAGGGTGTGCTGGTCACAGGGGGGCTCAGGGGACTGCTGGGCTCACAGGGAACAGGGGATGTGGGGAGAGGCTGGGGGGACAGGAGGGCTTGGGGCAGGGCCGGGGGGACAGGCCCCACTGGGGTCCCCTGGGGAGTCAGTGTTGGGGTCAGCACTGGTGACGTGAGCCAGGAGGGAGTCATCGAGACGAGGGGCCAGGTCTGTGCTGAGCCTGCAGGGAGAGAAACGTCAGGAGGAGCCCCAGGGCCACCTCCTGCCCCTGCCAGGCACCCGGAGCCCGAAGGGAGCAGGCAGCCCCAGGGCAATGAACACGCCCACCCTGCCAGCACCGGTACCTGTGGGGGACCCCAATGCCACCGGGGCTGCCAGAGGCTCCACAGGACTGGCCAGGTTGGTCTCTGATGGGGAGCGGCTCAGCAGCGGCAGGACAGGGGACTGGACAGACAGGCTGGGACTGGTGCAGCTCAGGTCTGTGGCATAGGGGTGACAGCCAGCCTCAGCCAGGGCAGGACATGTCCTTTGAGACCCTCTGAGGCCATCACCTGCCCTGCATGGGGCTTGGGGAGACAGGAAGGGCCTGCACAGGGGCACACACGTACCACTGAGTGAGGATGAGGAGGAGATGGAGCGCGAGAGCCCCTGCAGCTGCAGGTCCACCTGTGAGAAGGGTGAGCTGAGCCCAGCACTGGGGCAGAGGCCCCAGCCAGGCTGTGCCAAGCCCCAACTGGGTCCCACCCTGGCCCCACCACCTGTGGGGACAGGAGCTGGAGTCTCTTCTCATCTATGGAGCGCCTTGACTCGTCACAGGCAAGTGACCACAGGAGGACCCTGCACCCCAGCCCCCACCCCGGACTCCCTGGGGCCAGGCAGCATCCCAAGCCATGCTCAGCAGCAGCAGCAGCAGCTTCCCCAGCACTGGCAGGGCCAGGCTGGCACTCACGGGGCTGCCCAGAGCACTGTCAGCCTCGGGGCCCTTGGGCAGCTCAGTGCCACTGCGGCCATCCTTGCGGAGCAGGGTCTCCACGCGGTGGATGATGTCCCGGATGCGGCTGATGAAACTCTCCCGCTCCGACTTGAGGATGAACTCATTGTGGACCTGAGGGTGGAGGGGCCGGTCAGCACCCAGCCCTGCCGGGCAGGCCCCACCTTCACCCTCCCCCTGCTCTCACCATGGCGGCTGCAATTTCCTCCGGGTTGTCCCCATCCAGGTCGAACTTGAAGGTCACCATCTTGTTGTTGTAGGTCTGCAGCTGGCACTCCACCACTCGGTCGTTCTTGTCAGAGATCTGTGGGTGGCAGGGCTGGCTCAGCCCAGGAGAACCCACCTGGCCCTGCCTGGCCCTGCCTGGCCCTGCCTGGCCCCTGTGGCACTCACGTTGGTGATGCGCAGCCTGGAGCGGGCTCGGCGCCGCAGCAGCTTCCCCGAGGCTCTCTTGGGCGGCAGCTTGGAGCTCTGCTCGCTGGCCGAGAGCCCCTCACAGCCGTCGCTCATGCCCGATGCCACATCCGAGGTGTAGCTGCAGGAAGCCCCAGCTCCGGAGCATCAGCGTGGCCATTCCCAAACACCACACTCCCTACCTGACCCCTGCCCCCAGGCTCACCTGTCCACCGAGGAGGAGAAGCCACTGGCAGGGGGCAGGTGCTCGGTGGGCAGCTGCACGGCAATGCTCTGCAGGGAGAGGACGGGATGAGCACGGCCCCACGGCTGCCCCGACCCCCCCGTGGGGCCGTGCTCACCGTGGGGAAGCGGCGCACGGGCCGGGTGGGCGGTGGGCTGGTGGGGTCCACTGCCACAAAGCTGCGATGGGCCAGGTCCGGGGAGTCCAGGAAGCCAGAGGAGCTCAGGTACCCATCGGTCTCACAGTCGGCTGCGGAGGAGTGAGGCATGAACCGAAGCCAGTCCCTTCCCTGGCTGGGCAGCTGGGAAAGCCTGTGGGGCTGGGAGAAGCTGACAGACCCCCAACCCGCCTCCCACCCCAGGCCACCTGCTGCCCACCCGGCTGTTGCCCCCTTGGTGCCCACTCACAGGTGGCTGAGGAGTAGCTGGTGTGCCGGTAGGTAAAGTGCTGGTGCTGGTCAGCTTCGGGCTCCTCAGGCTCCAGGGGGAAGGTGCTGCTGAAGGCCGAGTCCCCAGAGCCAGGGGTGGCCAGGGCAGGCGTGGGGGCACCAGGTGGCAGCGGGGACTTGAGCTCCTCCAGGAGCCGCAGGACGCCCGGCGGCTGCCCGGGCTCTGCAGCTGATGGAGCGCCCTGGGCACGCTTCAGCTTCTCCCGCTTGCGCTTGATGGCGACCACGCGGTCCCGCACAGCCTTGGCCACCAGCTTGTAGTCGGCCTCACAGACAAAGCCCAGGACCACCTGCACGGGAGGGAGCTCGTCACTTCGGGCTGTAGGGACCCCGCAGCACCCAGGGCTCCCCAATCTCTGTACCCACCATCTCCTGGGCCACCTCCTCTGCCACATCCTTGTAGAGCTCAAAGAGGAACTCGATGGCGTTGTTGTCCTTGTATTTGCCGTGCAGCTTCTTTGTGTCGTCCATGCGTAGCCAGAGCTTGAGCCCAGACTTGACTCCATCATCCTCCTCAGCCAGCTCCACATGCACCCCTGTGTCCTCCTGGAAGAAGGAATGCTCCAGCAGGTCCTGGATGGTGTACCTGCAGAGGGCACAGCTCAGCGTGGGCTCG